TCCTTTTTTATTAGCATCACTTTAGTTTTGAGTTGTTCTTTATGCTTGAAAATTCTTCACTGCTCTTTGACTCCTTGACATGAAGACCTAGGACTGGACATACTCAAACACAGATACTGGACTGACATACATCATCTAGTTTTAATTCATATATATATGCCATACTAATTAGCCTTATATATGGTTGAATATTTTGATGAAATAACATTTTCTGTACTTATTTCTGTATTAACTTATAACAAAAAACATGTTTTAATATTGTTTTTTGAAAAGTGTAACTTTTTACAATACATTTTTCAACTATAACATTTTTGTCATTATTCTTGGTAATATTTTAGTTTATGCATTTTTTAACCAAAGAGGGTTCTCGACGAATTTCTGTCTTTGTGACAACGTGTTTGTCTGCTCCACTCTTCAACTAGTTTTTGTGCAAAATTAGTTTAAAAGCTGTACATTGGAATATTGGACCAAGTCTTTTTTAATTAATTTATTAGCGTTGGCGACATGAACTCAAAATGCCGTAAGTCGAGTAGGTGGAAGCTGAGATCCTCATGTATTTTTTTTTAATTTATTTATTTATTTTGCCTAATATAAGTGTAAGTGTTCTGAATTGTTTTTTATATGTTATATATATATATAAAAGGTCTTCTAGACCAAAAAAAAAAACAATCTGTAAAGTAGTGTTAAACCAGAGCGGTTGCCTTTCTTTAGAAGCTACTGTGGACAAAACAAAACAAGTCTTTAAAAGCACCACCTGCCACCACACACACACTCACACTCACACACACTCACACACAGTAAATTAGGTTTGTATTGTGAATGCTTTTCTAAATGGACCAGATGGAGTGGGACTGGGGTTAGATGAGGACAGATGCTCCACTAGATGAGAGATGAGTGTGTGTGCTGCCAGTGAGTCATGAAGGAAGGAGACATTGTCTCTCAACAATTGAATGAACACTGTTTAACTGGATTGCACAATTATAATGAACGGTTGCTTCGTCTTCATCAACATTTACCAGTAAAATGTTTATCTTGTCACAAACCTCCCATATATGGTTTTTTTAATTTTTAAAACAGGAGGTATTCTGACCCTTTTATTTAGAATTTGTTTCCAAATCTTGGAATTAGAGTGCGGCATACAGCGTTTTAGGCAGGGGTCTCACCTTCCCAGTCCCAGGTCTATTTCTGACCCACAATCCAGCCTCATCCAGCCCATGACTAGATGTCAATAACGATTACATTTTTTTTTCTGGGTGTATTTAGTTTTTTAAAAATGTAATTGATTTGATTTTGGCTGCATTGATTAAAACTGTTCAGTTCACCATTTAAAAATGAGAACTTTTTCTCTTTTTTATGCATATTTTTTCAAATATCCATTTTTGAATCTATTGCACTGTGAAAACTGCTGTGGATCTCTGATGAAAACATCACTCTAATTTTCTCCTTTGGGGTCCTCTAGTTCAGTGTTTCCCCAACTTTTTTTCTGGGGACCCATATTTTAAAAGTCACAAACATTTGTGACCCAAGTCAATAGACATCATTCATAAACTCCTGGGAAACATGATGACCAAAAAAAATTTTTTTTTTTTGGTCATCAGAGCATTGTTTTTGGGAAACAATGCTCTATTTGACTGGAACATTTTGTCTGGCCATGATCTCATATAGAGAACATGCACCCCGTTCAGCTGGCCTTTTTGCTGACTCAGCAAACTTGTCCAACCAACATGTAGAGACTAGAATGTGGGCTCCAGGGACACCAGCAATCTCTACACATTTTACAAACTCTACTCCGCGTCACAACAAACGGAGTCATGTGATGTAAACAGTAGTGTGGCTGGTGACCTGGCTTCTCCTTACAGCACCACGGTCAGCTCCTCTTCTTTCTTCCTTCTCTCCCCCTCTCTGTCTGTGGAAACTCTTCCAACTGTGAAGTGGAAACTCAAAGCTGCTTAGACTTTTAATACAGGACCATTCAGTGTAGTCAGAGCCACAGGCTCTTCCTCTAATGAGACACGCGATCCACCTGCACACACTGCTGTGACGTCAGCACACTCAGCTGAGCTGCTGGGCAAACCACTAATAAATGCAGTTTTTTTTTTTGTCACACCGTGTCAGCCTTTACAGTCTGCAATATTCCAACATATTCCTCTTCATCATAGGCCTCCTCACTGTCAAACTGAAGAACTGGCTCTTTAACATGACAATCATGAACATCATTTCTGTTTGGCAGGTTAGAAGAGGACAGTAGTAGAGTATTTAGAGCAGCCTTTAGTTACAAGAAAACAGTAACTGGCTTTTTCCAGTGTTGGCTGCTGTGGCTGTGGCCCATTTCTGTGAACAACTGTAAGCTCTTCATTCACAGCTGTGTGTGTGTGTGTGTGTGTGTGCAGGTGACTAATTCTGCTGTGTCAGGTCGTATAATAATATAACACATAATGTATGTTGCACCAATATATATAAAAGTTGCATATTATTAATTATTGTCACTGTTAGTTATTTAAATACTAATGACATAGTTACACTGTTTACACAAGTTAGAAAGAATTCACCAACGTTGATAAAATATGGACTCGATCTGACAGTTCATGTAGTCAGTTGATTGGTCAATTTAAAAAAAAAAAAACAGGTGTAATTAGTTACACACCTGACCTCCATGTGATGTATCAAATACTGTGATTCCAATTGAAAGCAATGGGATTACAAAGTGTATAGATATGGTGAGAGGTGTACACTTAATATACATATGTCAAACTCAAGGCCCGGGGGCCAAATGTGGCCCGCCAAGTCATTTTGTATGGCCCGCAGGAGCTTTAAAAATGAGTAACTTATAAACAGTCAATTGCAGGAACATGTATTAATACGTTATGGAGTAGTTACGTCTATACAGTCTTACAGTTACACCGGTGAAAACCAGTTTGACGCTCCTGACTTAACACCACCATCTGTGCGGAGCTGGGATCACACAGCGCCGTGTTTTTAACCGTGTTCTCTAAGGTATCCCACTACTCAGTTTCCAGCCCCGCTCTCCTCCTCTGCCTCCCCCTACTATCTCTCCTCGTCGCCACAGCATCCATGTGGCTCTCCCTCCTCTGCTCTCAGCCATTGGCCTCGTAGTACATCAGTCCCCCCTCCCTCTCCTGCCACGCACCTCCTCCATCCATCCACTCCTCTCCTCTCCTCTCCACTTCAGGCGGGCGGACTCATATCGCCGCAGGTGCGGGTGCTTTCGAGGAGCAGCAGTGCGATGTCAGAGGATCTCGTCCGCCTCGTCCACCACCTCCTCCTCCTCCTCTTCCTCTTTCGCTCCTTTCTTCCCAGCACCACGGCGGCGATCAGCGCAGGCTGAACCTCTATGATGCGCTCCAGTGGGGAGGAGGCGGCGGAGTTAAAGTGAGGGAGAAAGGGGGGGTTCGCTTGTAGGAGAGAGAGCAGAGAAGGGTTGGAGAGGTGAGATTTCTTTCCTCCCTTCAGGTTGTTTTTGGTTTTGTTCTCCACAAGCATGACTGACTGGTGACAAAGGAAACGGCCAGCCTCTCTGGCTTGAACTTGACTGGAGGCGTTTCGGGGGGTTCCGGCTCGCCCCACTGTTGCCGGGGAACCATGCCGGTCCGGAGGGGTCATGTTGCGCCACAGAACACCTTTCTGGGAGTGATTATCCGCAAATTCGAAGGGCAGAGTGAGTATCTGTGCAGCCCCGGCAGTCATGTGCTTGTGTTGTGTGGTGTGGTGTGGTGTGGTGTGGTGTGGTGTCGTGCTGCGCAGCCTTTTGTGTCTCCACTGCTGCGCCCATGTGAGCGTGAAGAAGAGAGCGCTCTTATCACCGCGTTAGGAAATCCTTGTGAAGCAGCGTTCAGAGGAGCTGCTGTGTTTCCCCCCTCACTCATGTCAGAGGTCCAATCACGACCGTTGATTCTTCCTCTGATGTGAATCCATGGATCGATTCCATCGGTTCATGGATTCACAGCTGTTTTACTCAGTTTCCTATAGAATCTTGTTCAAAGTCTTTTTACCTATTTACTATTTTTACTTCATCCCTTTTATATTCAAACCAGCCACTGTTTACTACTACTACTACTCCTACTACTGCTACCTACATTTGTTTGTTTGTTTTGTTCAAGGTAAATTAAAATTCTGTTCAATCTATCTCTATCTACAAATCTATAAAACATTTTCACTTTAACACAGAAATGAGGTTTTGGAACACCCACATTTACCTGCTTCGGCTTTTAATTTACATGTAAAAAAGTTATTATTTTTTATAGTTTTACGTCAAATACTTAAAAGAACAGTGTTTGATGTGAAAGTATAATTAGAATATACGTGTATATATATATATATATATATATAAGAAAGTACGTGTATATACTGTACATACAGTTATTCCTTAATTTCCAGAAGGGAACTCCCAAGGTATCAATAAAGTCTTCTATATATTGTATATAAATGCATTTTTTAAACTTTTATTAAAAAGTATATAAATATGTATTTATGTATGTTGTATACTTTTTTCTTTCTAAAGCTTGACTTACCAGTAAAAGCTAATACTTTTTTTCATCTTTAGCTGGTTTTGAACTTTGATCATTGAATTTTGGGCTGATCAAAGCAGCCTCTTTTTACATCTTTTATTTCAATAAACTGACAGATTGAAAGAGGAGACCAGTTAACTTTACTGTACTGCTCTGCTGTTAGTGATGACCGCTCCGTGTGTGTTGGTCGTGTAGTACGTAGACACTGAGCTGCAGCTGTCATGTACAATAGATGGCTGTAGTCAAGGCCAAATGAAAAAGGTTGTATTTTTAACATTGTATTTTTCTGACAGTAAATAGAAATAACATTTGTTTCAAAAGTCAAAACACAATATTTACCTTTTTAACCAACCAGACGGTAACTATGAAAGGACAGGTCCTCATTAAACAGAAATAATAAATATTTGAAAGTCTAGAACATGCAGAAGACCCATTACACCAACACTCTTCTCTACTCTGTTTGTGCCTCCACAGATAAGAAGTTCATCATAGCCAATGCCCGTGTGCAGAACTGCGCTATCATCTACTGCAATGACGGTTTCTGTGAGATGACTGGCTTCTCCAGGCCGGATGTCATGCAGAGGCCATGTACCTGTGACTTCCTGCACGGCCAGTTCACCAGCCGCCATGCTGTGGCCCAGGTGGCCCAGGCCCTGCTGGGCTCCGAGGAACGCAAGGTGGAGATCACTTACCACCGGAAGGATGGTAAGTGATGAGCGCTACGACTGAGAGTAGGCTGATTAGCTGGGGCTGTGGTGATAGACACTGTAAATGCAGCCTATAATGACCCATGTGGGGGAACCATGGGACATCACTGAATGATACTCAAAATGAGTGTGTCCAAGGGCTGGGTGATGCTTGCATTATAATATAATATCAATATTATATTTGAATGCAAATGCCTATTTTTTTTTTTTTCAGTTTTGCTTTGAATTGACATTTTAACATGTTTGGAATCAGTGCAATGTGTCGGCTACATTTAGCATTTTAAATCAAATAAATAACCATTCTGGGTTTAGATATAGTAGAGCAAGGGTGTCAAACATACGGATCGTGGGCCAAAACCAGCCCGCTGGATGATTCAATACGGCCCGCTTGATGAATTTTGAAACTGAAAAAATGCACAACCGCGTTCATGGTGTGATAATTTGTCAAATTATATTATGAAAATATGAAGATTTTTTAAATGAACGTGTACTTATTTGCATGAAAAAAAAAAGAGGAAAAACACAGACTTAATGTCCATTATAGGTCATTATGTCATAATTGGACTGGTGGATATCCAATCAGGCTGTTTGTGGCCCCTGAACCAAAGTGAGTTTGACACCTCTGTAGTAGAGCTTCTTAAACTTTTGAACAAACAGGGATTTTCAACCCCCACCTTCCCCCATCACCACAACAAAAAACTTGACAAATTAGTGAATCAAAATCAATAAAATCAAATAGCATAAAATTCAAAAAGAGGAAACAAAAATGCAGTTGTGCCTTGAAATGTTCCTCTCATTTGTTGCACCCCACCTGTCATGTCTCCCTTCCCCACTGGTGGTGCCCGCCCCAAACGTTGAGAAGCACTGTAGTAGAGCTATCTTCTTGGCTAATCTGTACCCATTATTGCTTTGTTTTTAATTGTAGCTTTCACATTACTAACCTGTGTGAGAAACGTTAGCCAAAACATTGCTTAAAAAAGTCTTTAGGTTAGTCAATTAAAAGTTGGTGTTCTATTCAGTATGCATTGACTTTGGAGCAGTACTTTTTACATTCAAGTATTTCCACATGGAACTTTTTAGCACCTGTACTGTAACACGTTTCCTCTAAGTGTCTGTCGTTGATGGGTTTTCCCAGAGGAAGAGTTTACAGACCCGTAGCTGAGGTGACATTGTCCCCTGTGTGGTAAAATGAAGCCAGAATGACGGGGAGCTCCTCAGACCGTGGATCAATTTGGCTGATAAAAAATGTAATTAAAATAATTCTAATATTCAAACAGTGTTGCCAAACCCTGGTGGAAATGAATATGAGCCCATTTATGGCCTAGTCACAGACACCGGGCTGCAGTGAGAATGTTGTGGGACAGTCATGTGGAAAACACGATGAGGTGAAGTGACAAGGCTTAAGAAGAAGAGAAGAAGAAGAGTGAAGGTGTCAGCTGTAGTTGAGTCATGCGTGGTTGCCTGGGCCTGTGGGGCTGTTTACGAGCCTGGGTTCATATTGTCTTCACTTGACCTCAGCAGGGACCACAGCCACCGAACATTAGTAGTATTTGTACAGCCTGATGCTTTATTGCTACAGTACAACTGTGTTGTGGTGTCAGAACTTGAATTGGGTTCATTAAAGTTCAACACATTTTAAAGAAGATCTGTGCTTTTAAACTGATAAAACACATTTATTAGTGTCCACGGGATGGAAGAGTAGTTATTGTAGTAATAAAACTTATTTCTTTATTTTTTAGATAAAAGATCTCTGGTCCAATCCCAGTGGTGACTGATGGTCACTCTTTAAATTTAGAGGTTTTATTTTCTTTTCTGTGTCTGAGGGTTTTCTTCAAGTACTGTCTACTGGTAGACTGCAATCTACCAGTAGACCACAAATGGAACATTGATAGATCATGAGCAATTAAAATTTCAAATGTAAAATATTGATGCAATTATAGTTTAATAGATTTAGTCTCTTGGACTAAATTATTAACCACCTAATTATTGAACCATATTGTGCCATACAGCCACGTGCATTTTAATAAAGTACCTCAACAAATTACTTTGAAACTCTAATGCTGACGTGAACATTTTATTTTTCAACATGGTGCTGATTAAATAATGTTGAAATTTTGAAATCTTAACTTGACAAACGACATGATACATGAGACCATTTAGGCCCTGATTAAGTTTTTGCAAAAGTTAATCAGTGTTTAGTGGCATTTTGCCCTTGGCCTTGAATCATTTCTGTCAGCCATTATATAAAGGCCATAATCCAGGTCCAGTGCTTCTTTTTACCTATTGTCAGCCAGTCTAAAGTGTTGGGGGCTCATGGTGGATTGGTCTGTTGTGAAAACAGCATTAATTAGGATACAAATACCATCATGTTGCATTGATCTTCAGAAATGCTGCATTGGTGAGGGGAAATCAATAAGGGCCAAACACCCTCCCTGCACTCGCCACTTCAGCGGAGACTTGCTGCAGAGCTGCGGGCTGTCAGACCCAGGAACAGGCCTCATTACCATTCTAGATGTTGTGGCTCTAATTATCTCAGCCTTCTCCTCTCACCTAACTCGATGCTTCTCCAGGGAAGTTCACTTCCACCTTTGGAGCAGGCTGACAGCTCGGCTGATGTCCTTTTTACTGTGTGCGTGTGCAGTGAAACCCCCTGCACCGCAGCTTGTAAACTGCAGACAACATGTTTTATTTTCACAGAGCAGAAGGTTACTGGTAGAAGTAGAGCAGCAGTGAGTGGACCTTCTCTAAGAGGAGCAGGGTTGATCTCTGTCATATGGACCAGGGCCAAGTATTTCCTGTCTCACAGTTTTGACTTTTATGAGTTGGTTTTATTCTTTCAACTTCTCAACTTCTTAATAATCTTCATTGATCATTAGCTACAGCCAGAAAAGATGAGGAGAAATGGCTAGAGATTTTAAGATTTTAAGCCAAATTACTCACAGGCACAACAAAGCCTATTTTCTTCGAAGATAGTAAAGGAAAGTGAACTCCTTGTCACTGTGACACAGCTCACCACTGCACACAACCAAATGTGACCTCTGTTTTTAACCCATCACCAAAGTGAACAGCGGGCAGCTTTAAGATCGGAGCAGAGTTTGGGGACGGTGCCATGATCAGAGCACCTCAGTGGTAACTTGGCAGCTGGTGGACTAGAACCTGAAACCTTCTGGACCCACGTCCGCTTCCTTAACCACTAGGCCACCACACCCAATCAGTTTCCAATCTTAACAAACAGCTCCTGTGTCACTTTAAGCTCAGGACTGCCACTCTCTTCTATGCCCTTTATTGCTAGAGAATACAGTGGTGTGTGGGCTGTGTCCCAAAGGGTGGTAGACCTTAATACAACAATATTCCAATTTGGGCTGGTCAGCAACTGAAGTAGGCAACATGTGGGACAGAAAATGTTAAAATACTGGAGGGAGAGAGTTAATGTATTCATCCACTCACAGCCAAAGGTCTACTGTCCTGTTGTGACCTGCTGTTCCAGGGAAATTAATTGCAAACACTTGATTGCTCCTCTCCTTGTGGACCACAGGGGGGGCTATCAGCAGCTATCCTTCTTTTTTCTTTTAATCCCCCACCACTCAGGGTTTTTTCAAACACCTCTTCCTTTCTTAGTCCCTGGAGATTCCTGCACAATCTATGGCAGTTTCTTGAGGCTTTGTGATTTATTCACCTTAGTAACACAAAGGGAAGTCCCATGTCCTCCCAGGTGTAACCCACAGGAAAGAGAGCTTCGATTTCTAAATTGCTAAAAGACTCACTGTTTAGATTCAATGCTTCATGTACAGTACAAAGTTTATTATTATATTATTCTATATTACTAAAGGGGCTTAAGACTGAGAATGTGTCCTTGAATTTTAACCTCTGCTATAATCCCAGATACAAAACAATGTCCTGCTTGGCCTCTGTGATACATACATTAAGATTTTTTTTTTTAACTAAGGTTTAATTATATTATATTTTAGCTCACACACAACTTATCCAGAACAAGCAAACATGTACTTTGCATAAGTAGGTACAATCGAAAAAAACCTCTCCGTTCCTCTGAAGCACGGTTGCTTCCGACACATACGTCAGTGATTGTTGTTTATACACGGTTAAAGCAGTGACAAGGAATCTGAAATGAAAATGAAATGAGTGACAGCTACTTTGTGAATGATCTTCAAAATCGTCCGCCCTCTGATCAACACGATGTCGTCATTACTGTCCAGTCACTAGTGGTGTGCCAAGTAAATACGGGCCAGTATCGCCGATACCGATAATCACCTCATTAAATTGCTATATCTCAATTCATTATTATGACCGATTATGTTTTGTGATGTTTCCTTTTTTATTATTAAATAGTTAAAACCCAGGACAGAATTAGGACAAAGTTTATAATTAAATAGAGAACATTTTTTCACTCCTCCTCTCTCTGTTTTTGTAGCTCCATGTTTTCTTTTGGATGGTTTTTTTACATGTTTATATAAATGAGTAGTGTTTCCGCTATACCTGACTAGCATTTTACAAATCCCACATTTTGCTGTTGTCTCACTTTCGACTAGAAAACACAGCCACACGGCGCTCCTCTTCTCTGCCTTTCTTCCGTTGACCTGTTGTGTTCTACCAACTTGGTATCGATACTATTGATATTTGGATCGATCCGGATATAAGATACCCGAGTGTATCCAACCATGAATATAGAGTAGGTTTTATATGGGAGTTCTGGGATACCCTCGGTAACATATGAGTTAATATGATGTGCTGACTTCTGCTGACAGGCAATTCAGTACCTGGACTGCTGGGTTATACTGGTACACTTGTATTGTACACAAATGTCCTTTTCTAGGTCAGAAATAGCTGCTAAAACCCCACTAATGAGGAATAAACATTCGACCAATGTGAACATAAATTATTCTTTTCAGGTCTAATTATAACAAGTGAGGCCTTTTGTTTGTCTCTATAGTTACCGGGTTGTGTTGACTACGTGTTGCACTGTGTTGAAACCAATGAAAT